TATTATTTTTTTTTTTTTTCTTTATATAAAATCTTAAAAATCAATCATAACGAAATACTACTTACATTGTAGAAAAAAAATGGATTTCTTTTTAAGTAAAGAGTATTCTTTTTAATAAAGGTATCTATATATTTTCATTGAAACTGATTACCGATCATTCGATTTTTGTTTAAATTCTTATGCAAATAAGAAGGAGAAAAGCCTTGTTATCGATGGTCTGTGTCCCTATTCCGCGAACAACTAACAATTTCAATTTATCCAAGCATGGAAGGTCGTGATTACTTTCTGGGGCGCGTATGTTCATGACGCGGTGTGCATTAATAATTAAGTTTGAGAAACGTTAAATAAAGACGACAGTGTGGAACAATCTTGTTTGTCTTGGTTTCAGCTCTTTCCACGGCCGCCGAGGATATGGGAGATGGAATTCAAGGGCACGATAATGACACCGGTAAGTAAAGTTAATGAGTTCAAGTTATTTTACATAAATTCAATTCGTATTACATAAGAAATACATTCAAGTATCTCGCATAGAATATCGTACTTTCATCTCATTTATATCGTCTTAGCTACCTCGAATCAAGGTCAGTTTACTACTTCTAACCGCACACGCTATTCTTCTATGTAATACATATATGGAATTAGGAAGTTCTATACTTCCACTTTGCCAACTTATCTCTCTACACTAATCTTTATTTTTTTTTTCTAAGTACAATTGTAAATAATTGATATGTTTAAACTCATAATATTAGTTTAAAATATTAGTTTAAAATTGTACAATAATGAATCCATATATGTATATTCATATTTATGTATATATATTACAAGAAGTTGGTTTTAAATTGTTTCAAATTTTTTTTCTATTAAAAAATTAAAATATAATAATAAAAAGAAGAAAGTAATCGTTATGTTTTCTATCACATATATATATTTATTTATTATTTTAAAAATAATTAAAATATTAACAATAATAAATCTGATGCATAAGAAAATATTAAAGACAAATTTATTAATATTTTCAATTGAAGAAATATAAAAATAATTAAAAAACATTTAATAAATCAAGTTAAAAATCTATTTGGATTGTTTCAAAATTAATTCAATAGCATATATATTACATAGCGGAAAAGAGCTAAAAAGCTAAACTTGTAAGACTCAATATGCTATTCAATGCTATTTAATGAATCGAAAAAATAGTGTAATATTGCAAGGTTAATTAAGTAATTCAAATTATTTTCATTCACAATTTATATAATGAAATTTAATTTATAATTTAACTTATAGAATCAATTTTTTCCTATGAATTTGAATCGAAAATTAATAAAAAAAATATTTTATTAATTAAAAATAATTTAAAAATAATTTTATAAATTTCGATTCAAAATTGTATTATTATTAATTATTTTTCATTATAACATTTGCTATTTGTAAAATAAGACGTCTGTATGTTTTCTATTGTTAAAATCGCAATAGTCACTGATTTTTTTTTTATTAACTAGATAATGTACACCTGTTAGACGTAACCTAGACCTAGCCTACACTGTTAAAGTGTATCTCGCTTAGTCATAGTTAACCTAGAACCGACTAATCTATCAGTTCGGAAAAAACCTAGCTTCTCACGAGTGACCTCACATGTATTACAATCATTACAATTGTTTATACTACAATTTATAATCTATGTTCAAACACTTATACCATAAAATAGCCATAATTAATCAAGCAGAGATTCTAATTATAAAGAATAGAACCTAAAAGAACGTTACAAAGGATTTAAATGATAAATCTGTATGGAAAACACGTTTTTAAAAGATTTCTCGACCACAATCTTTTGCGCTTTAAATACGCTGTTCCGTTTGAAGAATTCATTTATCTCCTCGAATTGACAGATACGTTATTGTTTCACGTCCAACCAAACGATCGATATTTCTCCATTTTAATCCATCCTCTGTTACGCTTTCTAAAGAATTCCATACAAATCTTATCTACAACGTCCAATTTAATGATTTTACTTTGATTTCAAATCATGGACTTTAGATGCGATATATCTCTTTTATGTTTGTAGGAAAGGTTAATAAATCGATAATAAAAAAATTCCTCTTTATCTCGTTCCCCTCTGAATTGATAATTTACGACACGTCGGAAGAGATTGTGGTTCGTTTTTTTTTTTGTGTGTATTACTTTGACTATATCTTTCAGATATTTTTTACACGTCATTCCAATCGTTTCGATCGGGAATTCGTGAAGGGCTATATACTTACTTTTAAGCGGTTACACTTGCCATACATATTCGGTCCAGGGTCGACTAGTCCAGTTTCACGGAGTGAACGGCGATTAATACTTATTGGTATATTTATTCTCTAGAGTTTTCGATTGATGCATTCGATTGGCTAAACTTGTGAGATTGTCATTTAGACCACGGTCATACGGTATTAAGAATAATTAACCGATGAGTTCTTGTTTTCTATGTACATGTACATTTGTACATATACATACATCGTATCTTGTAGGAATATAATTGTTATATTATTATGGTATATGCGATTATAATAATCAAATGCTAATATTGCTAATACCCGAATGAATACATGCTTGTTATGAAATGCATACAGATTGAATAGTTGACCTTTGTTTTTCTACTCGATTTATATGTATATAGCTGTTTGAACGATTAATATCACGAATAATTAATATTACCTTCGGTGAGAATGTATTATTCGTTTATATTATCTACATTTACATTTGTATTTGGTGATTTCGCATAAAATATTTATCATAAAAAAATTAAGGATAAGTCATCCGTAATTATTATATATACTTTTTTAAAATATTGTAATGCATGTACATATGCCTTAACTGTTTCAGGACCAAATCTTTTTCGGGCCAAGGCAAAATTTTCTTTTATCAATTATTGATGATAGAAACATATTTTTTTGTAATATAAAATCATAATGTATTAAAATTTGAGATCTGTTTCATGGAAAAAAATATTACATACATGTATATGCGCGAAAGAGTTAAAAAATTTCACTAGTTCTTTGGGAATAATTTTATCTATCTTTTATCGCGTTACATTATTTAAATGAAACAATTTAAATAAATAATTTAAATAACGTTTAAATTTTTTTTTAAAATAAATTATTAAAAATGTATTATTGATTTATTATTGATAATTATTGATAATTATTGATAATTATTGAAAATGTAAATTAACATAGATAATTAATTTGTTATTTTGGAATATATAAATATATTTTTATTTATATTTTTATTTAGAAATTATAATAGTAATAATAGTTATAATTTAATATAATTTTTAAAAAGTATATTAACAACATTTATACTAAATTTAATAACTATTTATACTATATATGAAAATTAAAAAGAAAATTAAAAGAAAAATTTTATTTTAATTGATTAAAAAATTTTTATATATATATAATATCAATCATTAATCTCTTTTATACACATCATTTGTACGATAACTCAAATTAATCTATAGTAAGATTTATAGAAAAAAAAAATTAAATGTTTTTTTTGTTACGGAAAAAAATAAATAATATTAAGTATAGATGATAATATTTTCTTTAATAAAGATAATTAAACAATATCAAGTGTATTAATAACAAATTTGCAACAAGTTTGTAAGAAATAATTACTATTTCATCTGAAAGCATTTGAATCTTTATTTGATTTATATTTCATCTTTTTATAATCATTTGTTGTAATCATTGAAATTTTCCTTTTATCATTTTTTTCATACATAAACATCAATTAAAATGATTCAATTAATTTGACTAAATAATTAAAGCAAAATAAATCATTATTTACTAACGCAAAATAACACGACGCGAATATTTATTTTCATTAATTTATTATTAATTTGCAAAATTTATTTAAAAAAAATATTTTATTGTAACATATCGTATATATTGTAAAATTTTAATTGTGATTTTATCAATAGAATATAATCATCATTAATTAATACAATCAAAATTAATAATAAATTTTTTGTTGTTATTGTATTTTATTTGTATTATATTTTTTATATTACTTGATATAATTGTTTTTGATTCCGCAATAGAAAAAAATCTTATATTATAATATTATTTTTGTAAATGCATTTTTTTTTGTTTAATTATGTGTATAATTATTTGTTTTTAGATAGATATCAATATATTTTTGTTATTTCAATATCATGTTTTTATATTTAAATCATTATGTTTAAATAAATTTTTAAAGTAACAAATGATTAATGAATATTCATTTTATATATGTTTTATATAATCATGTTTTTATTCTTTCTGTATGAATCATGAAATGATAAAATTA